TCTAGACCGCACTCGTTCAAAAAATCAAGAATGCTCCAACTTTCATGATTTCGGTTGAAATATTCGTGAATTTTAGATAGATTTATATGTCACACCCGGCTCGCCGTGGTACAGATTTGCGGTGTATCATTTATTACAGGATGTCGAATAATGCTGGGAATACATTACATTCTGGCCAGCTTCGAGGGCGTAATAATTTTGTCTGAGCATAGATTTGCGTTTCCTATTTAATGAATTCTCATAAACCTCTAATATGTACCTCAAATAAGATTCAATTCGTTTAGACTTCTTGGAAATAGATTCTAACTGGACAGGATCTTTAGAATGGTATAAGAGTCTCTCATACGCTCTCTTGACAAGGCTTTCGGGAAGTCTATTGATAATATGTTTATAGTCAGAATGAAACATTTTATACAATTTTGCGCAAAAAAAGTTTGCGTGCAAAATCTGGGCAGATCAGTTTCGATTTTATCACATAATATTAAATGCTGTTTCAATTATTAATTTATAAAAATTCTACATAATAATAAATCCCAAAATTTTTAACAATAATTTATATTATTGTTATTCTAAATTTATTCATATTTTTTTACTAGATACAATATTATAGGCCAATTTTTTAAGTAATAATCTTTAATTATACATTTTTTAAAAAATATCACATAGTTTCGATTAATTTGTAAAATATAATATATTAAATATTTAATAAATAAGTTAAATAAAATTAAATAAATAAATGGATAAATTTTTCATCTTTGTTTTCTAATATTAATAATAAATTAGCGTGATGGTTAAATGGTTAAATAAATGAATGTTTACAAATTTAAGCATAAATAAACTAACCAATTACCTTAATCCATTTCAAACTCTATTACCGACATTGTTTAAATGATTCTAATGCCTCCACTAATTTACTATTTATATCATCTGTACAAATGACTTCATCAAGATTACTTTCCTGCAAATCCACCTCATTTACTAATTCTTCATCAACTTCGTCAACATTATCATTAAATGCCATATTTAATGTATTTTGAAATATCTTGTAATGATATTCAATACCATCACAAAGATATTTATAACAATGTAGACATCTTCGATTTGCTAGAATAAAGCATTCTATATGATATCTGTAACCACATGATAAAATACCACCTGGTATCTCTAATTCACATAGTTTATCTAATCTGGGTAAGCAAGATGAATTCCAACCCATCAGAAGAACTTTTTCATCCACAATTATATTAAGTGTTGGTAAATTATATTGCCAATATTTCTTAACTTTTTTTTTGTTGTACTTCAACGATTTTTCCAAACATTTTGAAATAAATTCAAGAAAAAAATTGCAGCTTTCTTTTCCAAAATTTCCAATTGCTTTGCTGTATAAATAACATTTGAAAAATTCTCATTAAAGAAATTATTACCACGCATTTGATCAATTACTTTCGCCTAATAAATAATTTGCTGTGATGTATTAAAATTATTTGTTTGATGTTGAATAGAATTATGAAAATTTTCTATATAGTAATCATTAAAAATGTGAAGAGATGTTTTAAGAGTTTTTACTATTGGATGTTTAATATTTTGCCAATAAAAAACATCACTAAGAAATGCTAATGGTAATTTGTTGTAATTTTTGTGATGATCTCGATAAAAAATAGTCCATATATGTAACATTGCTTGCTCATATACTTCCCAACATCCACTATGAAAAATTATTGGATAAAAATCCAAAACTAATAGAACTATATTATCTAAAAGATCAATTAACATACGTGCTTCAGGATCTTTAATATTATGAAAAAGATTTTGTATAAATTTTTTAATTAAAAGCCAACCTATAAATGCAAGCTCCAAAAGTAAATTAATCTGATATGGCTTTGGTTTTTTTACCAAAATTTTTCGAGAACCAAATATTGAATGAAACATTTGTTCAAAAAAACTATAATTAATAATAAATACAGTTTCTCAGTTATTTAAAGGCACATGTAAAAGACCAATAAAAGGTATCATATTAAGAATTTGTTGTGATACATCAAATTGTTCTCCATCAATCATTTGATGTATAATAGCACGACATATATTTTTTTGTCCAGGATAATCCATAGGAGTAACCAAAAAATTTTTTTCTAAATATACATATATTTCTAGAATACTAATTATTAATCATACTACTGAAAGATAATCCTTTATTGAATGTAAACCACCCTCTAATAAATCAATTAATTTTGTATTTTGCATGCTTCAATCTTTTTTTCGTTTAGCAATTTGTGTATAAGCAAATTTTCAACTTGTTCTTCATGATTTTTACATAATTCAAATAACTTCGTAAAGGATTTTTTTCGTTCTTGATAAGTTATATTCAAATTTTCATATATTGTAAATTAAGTTGATTAATTATATTACTAGAATCAATGCCTTTTGGATTTTGAATTATAAGCTGATTAGTGATATTATTAAATGGAATAGCAGGAAATTGGGTGGATGATTTCATAAGTACTGTAATAAAGTGAAAAGCACTACTTGTAAAAGTAGTATCTGGTTGTCGTATGATATGAATAATCATTAATGTTAAGAATAATTAAGTAATTTTTCTAATATAAAAAAAATATATAAAAAAAATTTTATTATAAAAATTTAACAATAAAATAAAATAGAATTAATAAAAAAAATAATTACATTTTCATTAATATAATCTTTAACAGTTTGTTAATGTGATTTGGCTAATTGATACTTTTGTTTTTGAATAGTTTCTCTTCGAATTGTAAGCCTAATATTTGCTAAAATTTCAACTGTTAATGTAGAAGTTCCTGACGCATCTAATAAAAATCCCACTTCTGTTTTTACATTATTAATAAATTTGTTATTAAGACCTGCTAAAAAATAATAAAAAATAACAAATCATAACAAGTCTTTTTTTATTTTGTTGATTGGTTACAGAATTTTTCTTTTGAGGATTTGTATCAGCAATAAGTTTATTAAAAAAGCCTTGTAGTTTTGGTTCCTCTCTTTTTAACATTTCTTTAAATTCATCAGGATCATAAATTGGCTTTTCTTGATCTTTGCGTTGTTTTTTATATAAAATATTAGACATTAAACAAATATTTTCACCAATAGAATCTAAAATAAAAAGGATTAATTAGAGATAAAGTATAAAAGTAAAAAATAAATCATTTTATTACATACTTAATTTAACTTGATCAAATTCTTTACAAATTTCATGATATGCAATTTCTAATTTTTCAAATTCTTTAGCCGAATATAAGCAATTGTTACGAAGAATATAATCATGGTGTTTAAAATTCATATTTGAATTTTGTTTGTATTAGTGGCTGATAATCGGAAGATTATTTGTTTTCTTTGTCATGATTTATTGTAATAAAACATGGATTACAAATAAGTGTACCAGTTGGAAGATTCAAAATGGGTTGAAGCCATTGTGGAATTTTTACAAGAATATGTTTTCATGGTCAACTTTTCTTGCTATTTTTTATATACACTTCATGTTTAGGATGAGCACATTGCTGTTTCTTTACTGCATTTGCTAACTGATGATTTTCGTTCACTATTAATTTATTGTAGTAATGACGACATAATTCTTTTTTCACTAAATTTATACCAAGATTTGTTTTAGAAATCATGAGTATATCTGTAATAAGAACCATGCCATTGGTAATATTATCGCAAATAAAGGTTGTGTCATTTGAAAATTCACAAATTTGTTATTTTTTGGTTTTTTCAGACATTTATTATAAAAAAATTTAAAATATAGATGTCGGATAGGAGTTTTTTTAAAAGAAGACAAAAATTGGATGGAGATTTTAAAGAGAGTTAGAAATTTTTTTTAAAAAAAAAATTTCCAAAGGACAAGAAATAAAGTCAGAAGAAATTTTTTAAAAGAGAAGGTTCAAACTGAAATATTTTTACATTTAATTAATAAGTTATAGATAATATAAACAAAAAATTAATAAAACTCAAATATTAATACACTACCTTTTAATTATTTATCTAACGATCATTCTTTAAGAAATAAACAAAAATATCTATAGGCTATTGTAATGTTTATAATACTACTATAGCTTATATTTCATGAGAAGTTTCACTATGCTTGTAACTTCTGAATTATTTGCCTAATATTCAAATTATTTTGTAAAACATTAGAAAAGAACCTGAAAAATCAAAATTTATCTTCGGTTATCACCAATAAATTCTCTATGGTGCCAATAAATTATAATAACAAGATATCTTTTTGTGTAACCTTTTGAGATCTAGCTAATCTAAATGATTTTAATAATTAACAAAACTTAATTTATATATAAGATCAACAAAAAATACATCTAATTTATTAATTATTTAATTTCAATCACTTTTATTTTTTTAAAAAAAATTTTATTGTAAAAAATATATATATATATCGATCATGTATCGATCATGTAATTATTTGGAAATTAGAATGTCTGTTATACTTACATAACTAGAAATTGTGAGCCAAATATAATCTAATGCAATTTTTGCCAAAATTGGTACATTTGATTGCATTCCCATTCAATACAAATTAAGATCAACCTGCTCTTCAATTAATTCATTTATTGACTCACAATAAATTGACCATTCCCTTAATAGTTTATTAGAAGGATTACAAAGTTCTTTAATTACTGAATATCCACGTATATCTCTAACTTGAATTCCTGTTTTAATATATAATGAATCAAAAACATAACAAGCACGAAATAAAGATCATGCAAGATGTTGTGGAATATGTGTTGCAAATTTATTGTATGCAACAATAAATGCTGATCGAAAAATATTATAAATATTCTCAGGGTTAAAGTTAAATTGTATGATGAGAGAGTATAAATCAAGTCCAAAATCCTGTATTATAAGATTTCCTTCCAAATAAGATGTAAGTTGTTCAAGACGACCTTCAATAAATGGAAATATTAGCTTATTTTACTGCTGAAAAAAATCCAAATCCTAAACAAATTCTTGTGTATAACATGCAATAAAATTGATATAAATTGTAATTATTTTTTTTTTGTTTATCTTGTAAAATTTCAATAATTACAGAAATTGATAAATGTTTTGTATCTCTTTTATATTTTTTAAGATAAAAAGAAGGCCAATAATCAATATGGTTTTTAGCATAAAATATCATTTTAAACCATGAATTCTATCGTGTCTTATTTGGTAAGGAGATCTTGCAAGAATTTTCAATTCCATGTATTCTAAAATAGTTCAAATAGCATCCTTTTCATCCTAATGCATTTACAAATGTTTTTTTAATTTTGGATAATAATAATTTTAAAAGACCAAAATCTGAATGTATTCTCTTGTAAAAATATATCAATAGAAATAATTGTTAATATTAAGTAAAATTGAAATAATAATTTGCAAATTTAAAATAAAATTAATTTGTATTTACCTAATGAGATTTATAATGTGAGCTAAACATGGTATATGAATTAATTGTAGCATTATTGGTTTTAAAACTTTTCTATAACATTTTTTTATATATGATATAGAATCTGAAAGAAATAATCTTAGTAAGGAATAGGGAATATTATAGATGGTTAGAATAGTTAAAAGGGTTCCACCTATTGTTGAATTATTCACATGTTCCAAAAAGTCAACTGATACAAGTTTTATATTTTGCGAAAGGTAAAAAGGGTGTTTACAACACTTCTTAAACAATCATTTATGGTCTCATCCATTATTATTGCAACAGGTTTTTGATTAAAGAAATCTTTAAGTAAAGAAAAATGTTTATCAAAAATATTGGGTAAATATATTTGGCGAAGAGTAAGAGCTTGAGGGATTACACCACCTTCTTTAAGATGTTTTTTAAAAAAGGAAGGAGTTGATTAACTTTTCTAAAGGGATATTTGCAAAGGAAAAAACTTCAATTAAATCTTCTATAACCTCTTTTTTGGATTTAAATGCATTATTAATTGTAGAAATAGTAGTTTGCTTTTTTTTTTGTTCATTAATTTCATAAAGGTGTTTTTTTTTATTATGTCCTTTTGAAAGACAATGTGCATCAATGGTAGATTTTGACTTTCATTCAACTGAGAAGTCACCAAAGTTGCAAAATAAAATATCACCATTCTCTCTAAAAACATCAGGATGTTCATTAATACGAGAGTTTATGGAAACTTTTTTTTTATGCGTTATCATGTTTGTTAAAAGATACTAATTTAATTTGTAAAACAAATGTACAAATTGTAAAATGCGAAAGATTATCATAGTTCAATAATCAAAATTTGAACTTAAGAATCTCACACGATTTTGTGATCTAAATTATAAAAATTATGAAAATATTAAATTCTGTGAAATTATGTGATGACTAACACAAATAATGTAATTAGATGCATTTAAGGAAAATTCTGCAGCGTTATGTAAATCACAGAAAATTACTATCCTTGCACCAAACATGTCACATATTGATTATCATTAGGCTAGTTCCAAATTCTTTTAATCAAATTGTTAAATTTTTAGCTAATAATTAAGGAGATATGTATAACACGTTTTTTTTATCATGGAATTTCCAAGAGATATCTCAAATAATCTGTCAAATAAAAATCTAAAGCAGTATTTTACTGGCCTTTTTGTTCAAGAACAAAATGAAGCTTTTCCTCAATTTTTTTATCAAAATTTCGTTGCTCCTAATTATTCATATAATGTTTATAACCAATTTTTGAGAGGTACTTCTAAAGTTAATTATATTAACATTAAGAAAGAATCTGGCAATTTACAAAGGATAGATTTAACTCAAGAAAAAGATAAATTTGATGTTTTTAATGAAGAATTAGAAGTAAGTAAAAAAAAATACTTATTTTATTTATTTTTTTATTAAATTACAAAGAATATTTAATAATAATTTGATTTTAATATATTTAGAAAGTTACAAAGATTTCTAATAAAAAAAAGTTGTTATTACAGTTAATTTCATAATTCATGAACTATTAATAATTTTTCAGTCACATTCAGTCACAATATTTTATAGTAATTTTATTATAAAATATCTTTAGTCATATTCAGTCACAATTTATTAGTGATTCCCAAGTTATATAAACGAAAATTAAATTCTTTAGATGAATCAAATTATACTTAAAAAGATCATAAAATTAATCTTTTAATTCAACATATTACTGATAATTTTGATGAATATAAAAGAAGAAATAAAATGAAAATGTTTAATGAAATGTTTACAAATATGTTAAAAAATAAAGAATCAATGTTATTAAAAGTAAATTAATAAGAATGATTAAACTTATACAGAAATTAAAAAACATAATAAAAGATTTGGTGTAGAAAAAAAAGATTAGAAATGGTATGAAAAAATGGATAGTTTGTTTGGAACTCGTGAAATATATCACCTTCTTTTATAGTAAATGGATTTACTAATAATGAAAATGAAGAATCTTTGAAAAATAATATAATTTATCAAAAAAATAAAAAAAAATAATGTAGATTCTATAGCTATTGCAATTTCTACTATGAGTGAAACTAAAGAAAGAGTATAGGATAAAAAAATTGAATTAGAAAGAAAAAAATGGAAAAAAATTATGCTATTGAAATGAATAAATTAGAGATAGAAAAATAAAAATAGGAATTTAAAAGAGAGAAAACAAAGATTAAATTTGAATTAAAAATCAAGGAAATAGAACTTAAATTTGATCAAAATTCAAAATACAATTGAATAAAAATTTTTCACGTAATGATTGTAGACTGCATTTATATAATATTTTTATAATGTTTATATAATATTCGTATAACATTTGCATAATATTCACATAAATTTTATAATATTTTTATATAAATTTGATTATATTTAAATAATTTAATAATATAAATATCTTTTTTGTTAATTATTAACAATTATATTCATTAATTGTTTTCTTTTTCTTTTACCTTCTCTTTTCAATACTATTTCATTTAGGTTTGATATAACCTTTTCATCATTATTATTCCTATTACTATTATAATCACTTCTATTATTATTATTATTTTCTTCTAAATCTTCTAAACTATTATTATTCAATTCTAAAAATTATTGCATATTCAGTTATTTAATAGCTATAGAAACCTTTCTAATACTTAAATCTTTTAAAATAACAAATCTATTTTTAAGTTTGCTAAAGCATTTTCAATTACAACTCTATGTAAAGAATGAATTAAATTAAATTGTATTGTAAAGAAATTTGAGAATTTGTAAAAGGTTTAATTAAAAAAGGTGATATAGGATAAGCTAAATCTCCAAGTAAAAATTCATTACCTTTAATATTTAGAAATATTAAAATAAAAATGTGAATTTCTATATACTTTAGCATCATGAACTAAATCATGCTACCAAATCTCATAATCTATAAATATACCTTTATGATCTACAATTTCTTGTAATTGTATAGAATATTTTTTTTCTACTCTAATATGTTTCAGGTTATTTTATTGGGGATTTAGCTAATACTATATGACTTTCATCTATTGCATCTATTACATTTTTCATTTTACTAATATTTTTAAATTCTTCATGTACACTTTATTTAGTTTCATTAGTTGCTCACTTAACTAAAGTTTTTTTTAATGAAGAAATTGCAATCATTATTCTTTTACAATGTAAATAAACATTTCCTTTAACAATTCCAAACCTTGAATATATTTCAAAAATATTTTCTTTAGAACTAATTTTTCTTAAAAAAACTGCAAGTTGTAATTCAACAGTAGATTGTAAATTATTACTATTATTTTGAAAAATTATAAAAGGATTTAATACTAATATTAGTTTTTGAAAATTTATAGAATCCATTCTCATTATTTTTTTAAACCTGATATCATTATAATTTAGTAAAATATTACACCTTCAATCTTTTAATTTTATTACATAATCTCTTTGCTCAAAATATTGTATTCCAAGTAATGAAGTTAAACAAAGAATTACTATTTCATCATCTTCTTCACTTGAATCTTCACCTTCAAATAAATCTTCATCTTCCATATTTTGATAAGCTTTAACCCTATAAAAAATCAAAATAAGAAAATAATACATTTTTTATAAGGTTACTATACGTAATTGATGATTCTGTATCATAATTTCATATGTTTTATAATGATTTATTTTTTTATAATTTTTTAGAAAATTGATGTATACAGAATTATTA